ACAGTTGTTTAATTAACTTAATTTTTTCCAAGATAATAAGTTTGATAAATCTAACAATAGGAGCGAATCGGATTAATCATAGGCTTGGGACAATCCCAGGTTATGAGCAATTATTTATTGACCCAAAGGTATTGACGTGACAATGTTTAAATTAATCAAAGCCATTCATTTGCATGAAATTTGGATTGATTTGGAGCAATGCCAATTAAACTATTAGGCAATAAAATCAACCTTTGTTGGCTCATGACTTTGAGACTTGTAAGACTTGATAGATGAATACGGTTCATCTCTTGTTTTGATAAAGTTTTGATGTGTTTTGCTCTGAAAGGATCTCGGCTAATATTCGTATGGTTTTGGCATGTTTTGTTTTGAAAGACTTCGGCTATATTCATGCAAAACCTTTATTACTAGTACCATTCACTGAGTATCCAAGCTCACCCTCTCTATATATATGTAGGTGATGAGCAGGACGTCGGCGACGCTTAGATGTGTTTTTGAAAGCTTGTTTTGGATCCATGGTTTTTATCGGCTTTGTTTTGTATTAACGTCGACGATGTCATTTCTACGTCGGCAATTCTTGAAAATTATGCTTCTTAACTTGTATTCACTGTATTTTGTATATGTCGGCTTGAGAAGCCTTTTGATCAAGATGTAATACGTATTTTACTTTGTTGTATTCAAGTTTGTAAAGATGTATGCCATTTCATTGGACTTATGCACTGCTCTTATGGACCACTTGTATTTTAATTTATTACTTCCGTATTTGTGAGCCCCGTTTGTTATACTCTGATTGTGTTGAAAATTTAGAGAAGATGGCCTTCGGTAATCATGGATTACTGGCCATCACGGCACCAAACTACTAGGGGCAGTTTGGGATCGTGACAATAATGCTATATACACATAATTAAATAATTAAAAAAGTTTAAGAATTTTAAAATATCGATCTATAAATTTACTTACAATTATGAGAATAACTCCATGTCAATTATTAATTTGTTTAAAAATCAATCACTTAAAACTAGTCCTTGTCACAATTAAGAGATTGTTTGAGGTGATATAAATAAGTATATTTTTTGACTTTTTATAAAAAAAAAAAATATGTAAAAAAGTAGAAAGATAATGTGACCCAAATAAATGCACTTATTTAGTTTATGCCAAATAGAGTGTTTTAAAGAATTCTAGTATTTGTATAATATAATAGTTTACTCATTCATTGATTATTTTTGTCAGAATGTAGAATTAAACAACATAACAGTATTAAAAATGTATACGTTAACGCAATAGGTGTATGTCGGTAAATTATACTTTATACTCTTACACTTTACATTAAATCTCACTTTGATTTCTTATTTTTTAATTGTAACCGTGAACCTCTTGCAATTTTAGTTAAATTCCAATTTGATTTTTCTATTAATCTGGTGTTAAATTCAGCAACGAATATGCACAGGAGATTTTTTTTTTTTTTTTAAATGTATTTTTTCCCCTTGTTGTCCTTCTCTATTTTTCCATGTAATTTTCCCCTGTACTTTCTTTTAAACTCATCCTTCCTTCTTTGCCATTTTCTCACCCTTTCCTATCACTCATGGCTACTGCCCATCTTTTTTCCTTCAACCCCATCCATTTTCCATCGACTCCCCCACCTTCCATCACCACCTGCGCCCTTGCTTGCCACCCCTAAAGGGAAGTCGTGAAGTGGTGAGAATGGGTGGGCAGTGGCCATGGGTGGTTAGGGAATAGGCAGGGAAGTGACGGAAAATGGTGATCACGTCGATTCAAAAAATATAGTAAAAAGAGAAAATATAGTAAAGAAGTAGAGAAAAAGAAAGAAAATGGAAAAAAAATTACATTTTTTTGTCTTAAAAAATGACTCATGTCATAAGATAATTGTTACAATTAAAAATAAAGAAACTATAGTGAGATTTAGTGAAAGTGTAAAGGTACAATGTGTAATTTATTTCTTTGAGTACCATATGTGACATTCCTTATGTAGTGGTCTAAACCAATAACATAATTGAAAACTTTATAAGATAAGACATGAGAACTCATCTTTGTAAAGTAATTAAAAGATAAGAAATGACACGCTTAGTGTGGGTTGTGATTTTTCATTTACCGAAAGCATTACTTAAGCAACCGAACTAGACGTCCAGTTTGGATCTACCGATGTGCACCACGTCAGTATTTTTTACAAATCAATGGTCTAAATTTTGTCTACATATTTACAAACCCAATAATAGATCTCAACAAAAAATCAAACCCAATGTTTAATCTATAAATTGGTAAACAAAATATAAATCATGTTACAAAAAAATACAAATGTGACACACATCCATCCAACCATCGTCCATTTTCCTCAGTCTAAACCCAAATTGGAGAGAAGGCAAGCTATTTTCCATTTTCTAGATGGAGTTGAGATTAAGCCAACTCAACATGCAAACGTTATGATAATCATTTCATAGTACAAGAGAATCATATAATTAGAGAGAACTGTTAGTGAATATAACAAGAACAAAACTTAGGACAAAAAGAAAGAGAAAAAAAAATGTGAATGTCACCACGCAATATATGAAGCCGTACACCATGGACACGTCTCTATTTCCGTAGGCAAAGATTCGTTATCTTCCCAACTTTCTATCACTCTTCACTTTCAACTAATGATCAAAGTGTAAATTTGTGAATATGAGAAAAAAACATCTATTGGACCACATTCTCTTATCCCTTCAACTTGCTCTCTCTTTTTTTTCTCGAGAAAATTGCTTAACACACTACCCTAGTACCCTCCCCATTCCTATATATATGTTTTCATCTCAAATTCTTCAAACCAAACTCATCAAATCTCACATTCCATTACAACAATTCTCACATCAATCTCTCTAATCCTTTTTAGCATTTTCCAAAAAACTTTTGATTTTCAATGGAGAGGGTGACAAATATGGTGTCCCAAAAACCAGTGGTGATCTTCAGCAATAGCTCATGTTGCATGTGTCACACTATCAAGACCCTCTTGTGTGATTTTGGGGTCAACCCTAATGTTCATGAGCTCGATGAAACGTCGAGAGGGTGGGAGATCGAGCAGGAGCTTTTGCGACGCGGTTGCAACCCAACGGTGCCGGCGGTGTTCATTGGCGGTGAACTTGTTGGCGGAGCCGATGAGATCATGAGCCTCCACCTCAGGCGGGCATTAATCCCAATGCTTAAGCGGGCAGGAGCTTTGTGGGTCTGATGCCATGTCATAACACTGACACTCGTAGCTTTCCTTATTACCTAAAAAAAAATAACACTGACACTCGTGTTCTGTGTTTTATTTGAATGCAGAGCTATTAGGTTTAGTAGCATATATGAAGTGAGAGAGCCTACTTTAGTGCTATAATAATTCACAATACTACTAAATAATGTGTAGTAAATCAGCTTTTTTGTAATGTAATCTCTCTTCGAGTTTTTGCTAATAAAAAAGCTGAGTTTACGGTGATTAACTAGTTTCTTCTTAATTAATGTCTTTTAAGAGTATGTTATAAATACATACGATTGAGTCCTTGGATTCATAAATATTATAAAAGGAAGTGCTTTGCTTCGGATCATTGCTATTTACTCAAACATGTTCCAAGAAAGTCGAGATATTTCAAAATCTTTGTTGACACGATCAATGTTAGAGAAAACTCTAAAATTATTTCAACATTGGACCTTGGGCTCGGACATGTATAGCAGTTTTGAAAGTAAGATCTCTCAATGTTCCTACATTTACTGAATTTTGAAAGTAAGATCTCTCAATGTTCCTACATTTACAAGTAGTAAGAGGGCTATTTATTAATTACAATATCAAAAATTTTTACAAAAATATTTCACACAATTTTTTACGATTAATTTTGAGAAATATCAAAATAATAATGTTATTTACAACTAGTGTGGACAATATAAAAAAATATGGATATAAGTCTTAAAATACATTATAGGGTAAATTACAAATACATCCCCTGAGGTTTGATTAAAATATAAATCGCCCCCGATAGTTTTGAAAATTACATTCTATCCCTTGAGGTTTTTAATTTCATAACAAATCGTCCCTTTTATTAATGAATTATCAAGTCAATTAACAGTTTTTAATGATATTAGAAATATGTTTCAATTAATCGTTTAGGTAATTTTATTATTGTATAGAAGAGCAATTATGAATTTTATTTTTTAGTTAATTCTATTGAATAAAAAATACTAACAAGCGAGTATTTGTAATTTTTCAACCTACAGGGGACAATTTGTATTTTAAACAAACCTCGTGGGGTATATTTATAATTTATCCTAATTATATAATGATAATTTTTTTTATACAAAATTTGATTAAAAATTCAATATAATAGTAATACCATGTCATTATTAGTATGTAATATTGCCAACTAATATTAAATAAATACATAGAGAGTGAACCTTACATGTCGAATGTAACTAACAATCAAATAAATTTCATATCTTTATAGTGAGATTATTTATACTTGTATGTCAATAATAATAATATCACCATTACATTCAAAAAATTTCATAAATAATATGATTTATAGTAATCTCTTCATTTTCAATCAAAATAATCATTATTGTTCTCACAATTTTTAAAATATTATTTACATTTCACTCTAATAATATTTTTATAATTTTTTTTATTTAAAATATTTTCTTTATAAAAATCCCAAAATCTAGGGACACGTGACGCCCTGCTCGCTAAGTCCCTCGGCCACTGCTTATAATAAGAAGATTGCTCTCTGGGGTTTCTAGTTTGTGCATGTGTGAGCAAGTTTTCCTTCCCATTCCATTTTCTTCAAAAAAGTTTATTTTTCAACACTACTAAAAGGTCTATACAACGCTTTAAAGTGCTATTAAAATTGAAAATTATTCACTGTCACGTGTGAATAATTTCTTGACATCAATTTGTTGCTTTTCAAGCCGTCCTAAAATTTCATTTTGGTTGTGGTGGTGTTTGCTTGTGAGAGTAGAAAGTTTCAAACTTTTGTTAGTTCAAACTATTTTTATTCAAGTTGAATTATGCTTAGACAAATCTAAAAGAACAATGTGATGCATATATTGAAAACAGTGAAAGATCAAATTTATCACAACATGGGCACCCAAGGCAAGTGTGGATCAAAACATGATCTCACTTTGAATTCCAGCATATATCTTCAAGATATTATATGACAATAAAAAATGTCCAAAGAGAAGAATCTGACCTTTCTTTTACACATATTGAGGCATGGTTCCTATTCATGGTCCATGCAAAAAGCTAAACATGCAAGCAATATTGATATTGTGGTGAAATTGATTTAAAAATACTCTTTCGTCCAAACAGAACTTCTTAATCCTTTCTTTTTCTCTTACTTTTTCCTCCCCTCTCTTTGAACATGGCTTTTCCTTTTATAATGATTCCTTTAGTGCCCCTCCATAGGCCTACTGCTTTCTGGGCTTTAATCGTCCCTGGGCCTTCTGAATATAAAAGGGTGTAGTCGGCTCCTTCAGCATTCATAACTTGCTCGTACTTGGCTTCACCCGTCATGGCCGACTTGTATTCAGCCATACGTCGAGCACAAGTCCTAAATAATAATCTTTTTATTCGGCTACCGCAATTGCCCCTCAAACATCCAATTAACATTCGTTTATTTGGCGTGGTCGGTGTCTACTTTTTCGGCTCATAGACTTGATGGTCCTCGATTCCTCGATAATCGAGAATACGGCGCTTGCACGTTTTTTAGTGCTAATGCATCAGAACAGACGCAATACGATATCATCATTGCTTCCCGTCCCTTCATGTTTTGACATTCATTTAATTCAATTTAAAATATGTCCCTCCGTATGCATGAACCTTGGCTCTTTGACATTCCTTATTCCGTTCTTCCTTTTTCACACGACTCCTACGATTTGTAACTCTTGCTTCCTATCGCTCTTTCGCTCTAACCTGTAAGTCCCCTCTCTCTCTCTTTCTTTTGTTCGCATTCCAGTCCTCTTTTTGTATTTTGTTTATTTATCTTCCCCTCCGTCTGGGATAGTGACTTATCTGAAAGCTCTCATCTTTAAGGAGCGAATCGCCTCTTGTTGCTGTCGCTTTTCAATTCCAGATGACATTAGCTGTCCCTCGTTGCAGACAGTGTGGTTGACATGGAGAGGACGAATGCAAACACCATCATTTTTCCTCTTTTGTCAATCACTAAGGGTGGGGTCCGTTTCCCCTTACGCCCATTCCTCAGGACGGTCCTGCGCTACTGGGGCCTCTTGTCTTCTCAAGCCAATGTGAACTTTTATCTCATAATCATGGGTTTGGTAGAATTGAACCGCCTGCTTGGGCTCAACCTAGGAATTCCGACTATTCGGCACTGTTATGTTATGGCGAAGTCAACCGATCGCTAGGGCCGTTATTTTCTCAGAGCCAAGGATATAGATCACCACTTAGTGACTATGCTTGCCAGCTCTGGAAAAAGAGTTGACGATGTTATGGTCGCCATTCGAGGCAATTGGGAATTCGGCGAAGGAAAGGATCGCCAAGACCCTGTGCCAAGACAGAAAGGCGAGCCAGGTGGCCGATCAGTTGGTTTATAATAAGATTTATTCGGCTCAAAAATACGATGCTGGCCTAATTTGTTGTGCGTAGGTAACGACTTAAAAATAGCCCTCCCTTTGGCAGACGAAGCCGTTCTTAGTCAAGTGAAGACGGTCCTTAAATACAAAGGGCGGTCAAATCTTCAAGAACAAGGGCGCGTCGTTCATATTCTGCTGAAGTACGATCCCACATACTCTACTTTTTCAATCGCCGATCATATTCCCGTGCCAAGGGGTGAACAGCAATTGACGACACTTGTTTTCCCTAATTTCAAAAGTTTTAGGAATATTGGGTTTGAAGGTTCAAACGCTGAGTAGGATAAACCTGAAGACCGTTTAGAAGAGGGTGTAGACGGCGAAGAGTCTGGACTTGAAGCCCATTGAGAAGACCAAGACTTAAGCAGAGAGCTTGAGTTGGCCTTTGAGCAGTTCATCCCAAAAGGTAGCAGCCAGCGCTCAACTTTCGGTCGAGTTGTAGTTGCGTCTCCTGAAGACGATATTTTCACCGAGTTAGGAGATTTTCCCGAGGTTGATTTTGAAAAGATAGAGGGAGAATCACTTACCCAATTTGCCAGACAGTGAAATGTCGCAAAAATGGTAGCAATGAGGAGAGCCAGTGCTGGGGGTGGCCTGGAAACTCCCCCTCCAGCGGCCGTTTCAGAAACTGATCAATTGATTGTAGATGAAGTTGTCAAAGTACCTAGTCGGCAACAAACGGATACTTCGAGCTCTAAATAGATAGAGTCGAGAGGCAAGAAACGGCCCGTCGACACCCTTGATGAGTCATTAAAAGAACCAATTGACAAACGGCAAATAATAGAGGCATTTTCTCCTGACTTGGCTAAGCCATTCATCATGCAGCCCAGGATGAAGAGTTTGCCGGTTCTGGCTAGTGGATCGGCCATCAAAGATCCCGTCGTCATGTTAATTGTCGCGTCAGTGCTTTGACTTCCGTCTGACAGGTCAACCTTTCATGCCGAGCCAAACGTCGTTTCTATTGCATTGGCAGCACAATCGACAATATTGGTAAGTCGCTTTGGATTGTATATCGTTCATGTGCCGACTACTAACTTTGTTATACCATGTTTTGTAGGGGCAGGGAGAATAGCTAAAATCGGTTGTCGACACTGCGATGCCGTGCATGGAAAGACTCGGTGTTTTGGAAGGCAAACTTGCAGAGGAAAAACGCAAGGTCAAAACTGCAATGGCCGACTTCCAAATGGCAACACAGAAGGCGAAAACCAAATCCAAAAGAGTTGATGAAGAACAGCTGAGGGCGGATGCTGAACAAGAGAGGACCAAGCACGCCGAATAAAAGGCGAACAATATGGACCGAGAATTGAAGTTGGCCAAGGAAGAAAACGCCAAACTACAGGCTGAGTTAGAGAAAGCGAAAGAGACGCAGACACGTGTGGAGGCCGATGAGACCAAAGCATATGATGCTGGAGAAACGGCAACAAAGGAGCTATATGCTGATGGGGCGTTGAAGTTTGAGAACTGTGGCTTCAAGCACGGCTAGATGAAGGCTCTAGCAGCTCCCAATGTAACACTTAAGCAGCCAATTCCTTATGAGCAATTAGAGGTGGAGCCCCTAGAGTCCGATCCAGAGGAGTTTGAAGATAATTAGTTTAGTTTTTTTTATATTTTTGTTAAGATGTCATCTTGATGTCTTTTTGAAGCTTCCTTTGTACCTGTACTTTTGTTTTGTTTATTGTAGAAGTCGATCATTTTCATTGATAAAGTAGCCTATGTTTGAAGTACAGTTTATGAGTGAAAATGCCTGTTTTGATGTTTTGTTTTAACCTTGTTGGTTAGAGTGATGAACGTTTGACGTACTGCTTTAATGATGAGTGCTTTTAATGTTTTAACCCTGTTGGTTAAGTCAGCCACGTTCAGATGATGTTGGGAGTGCCTGATGCACTTAGAGTAGAATAATCGCAAGACTTAAAGCTTTAATAGTTGGGACAGCGGAGAAATTCGACGAATGAAGGAAAAAGATAAATAGATTCACATATCTG